TCTGCAATTGTCCCTAAACCCAAGGCGTGCAAGACCTCTTATAGCCACATTGCAAACCAACGACTCTTGGCATTCCTGTCAAATACCATCAGACCAAGATTGCATATGGCAGATGAGAGTGAATAACAGCATAATAAGCTGTTTGTAAGACCTTGTGTGAAATGCTCAATGCTAAATTTCTAAGCACATATAAGTTATTTGATGGGTTTTTACTCAGATAGTTAATATGTTGACCCCATTGAAACGTGGGGTCTAGGTGTACTCCAAGGAATTTCAAACTTGTCACATCTGCGTTTTCAGTCTGGATGTCCCTAAGAGCAAAAACAGACCTATTGGTCTTTGCTTCATATTTTGGTCCCTCCATCACAAGGCCTAGGTATTCCAGTTTTCTGGTTTTTATAGTGGTGATTAGTTCTGTTTCTTTACCAACCCTTTCCAGTACTTCTTCATTTCAAATTTGTGATTCTATCAGTCTATCAGTATCCGAGGGTTCATCACAAAACACAACAGTGTTGAATTGCATTGTATGAAAGGATTACAAGATGCGGGACACTAGATTAAGAATGCCAAGAGTCCTTCCTGAAACCGAAAAAATAGTTGTTACTTTCGAAAAAGCTTGTGATTTGCAAAGCCATGGCCTTTTTTACTATTTTAGAGACTACTGGGAGCAATGTGACAAGCCTATAGTTCTCAGATACGTCACTTTCCCCTTTTTAAAATATAGATGTTAAAAGAGCCCTTTTTAGAACTGAGGGAAATGTATTCTTTTTAAAGCATTGATTTATTGAGTGTTCAAGATGGCTTATGATAATATTTTTTATCACTTAATAATGCTAACATTTCAGCCATATATATCACAACTTTTCTTGTTTTTTAAGCTGTCTATGATTTCCCGGGTCTCATTGAATGATACTTCAGAAAAGGAAAAGCTCTTTGAAGGATTTACATTGATGTTTTTCAAAAAATCCATATTTAATTCAGGTATCTTTTATTAAGTTGTGGGCAATTTGAGAAAAATGATTATTAAACTTATCTGGAGTGATGCTATGAGCCTGATGTAGAGCCTCAGATATTCCTCGTCTATTTATTATATTCCACATGGTTTTGGAGGATTTTTTGAAGTCAAGATTACTCTGTCATTAGAATTAATCTTTGTAGTTTTTTATTTCATTTTTGTAGTCTTTTAAAATCATTTGGTATTTGTAAGTTGTGTTGGTGTTATGTTGTCTGTACTTAGTACTCACTTAAATCACTTAAAAGATTGACATTGCTCTTTGTTTGAGAACCATGTAATTTGCCCAGCTTGGTCTGAACTTATTTCTCTCTTATTTGCAGTATTATTTAATCTTCATATTTCTTTCTAATACCTGCATTCTGCAATTTATTGGCATTCCACTTTTGCTGTTGGTGTTTCTGTTTTGTTTCCATTTTAATTTTTTCTCTTATATTGGCTTTGACCATATAGTGATCTGAATCAGCACTTGCGCCTCTAATTAAATGTTGTCACATCCGTCATTGATCATTGTTTTCTTTTGTTAATAGGTATGTGATTAATTTGGTTGTACTTAAATCAATTTAGCATATTAATTATAGCCTAATTTATGTTTTTTAATTTCAGTTAAAAATGGAAGATTGTCTTGAAGACTGTGAAGAGATTTTCTCTCAAGACGGCGTATTGCTGAAACAAGCACCCGCTACTCACATCACATTTGTCAACACTATCGGTACCTTGTACCTCTCGGAATCTCTAAATTCAAACAAAAAAAGATTCATCGAATGGAAGCCGAATGACATAACTGTGGATTCTGATATTCAAGATCAAGAATGGGCTGTAGTCAATACAGTTCAAAAAAGAATGAGGACTCTCAGCGGCAACTACCCTCCCGATTATCAGAATAGACTAAAATGCATCAAATTCAGCTTCGAAGAAATTAAGAGCTTTCGAGTAGCTAATAAAAATAGACAAATTTCATTTTACGACGGAAAAGCTGATTGTTTATGCATATTTGGTTTCCAGCACGGAAATTGCGAAATGTTATTGTCAATTTTAAAACGAATGTTGAGAATTAGTTTATCAAAGAGAGATAAACACTTGTACATTGTATACGACGCCAGTTTTCATGAATTTCAACAGTTGGACAAATCATTTGCAGAACTGGACATACAGCATGATTCAAGAACTTTGTGGAGTGTCTTCAAAAACTTAAAGGATCATCCATATGAAGCTACGTTTGAGGCATTTGCAAAAGTTACTGATTATGGTAGGTTTTTTTTATTTACAAACAATAGTCGCTTTAACCACCTGGGTCATTAGCGACATTAGTTATTACACTATGTCCATTTGTTAAGGATACAACACTATGTCCATTTCCTTAACTTTTCAGGAGAGCAGTTTTAAACTTTTTTTCAACAAATGTTATTGCCACAACGCTTTATTAAGATGTTAAAACGATATTTTAATAGAACATTCTATCTATTGTTCTTTACATCATGCACTTGTTAAAATTAAAAATATTTATTATTTTGTATGTTTTTAACCCTTTTAATGGACATGGTGTTGTATCCCTCTAATAATGTTATTGAACTGTAAGACTTAGTGTGGGATATTAATAACAACTACAATACGCTTTGACTTACAAAATTTATTTAACCATACAATTCACGTATACAAATACAAAACATCTATGTATTGAACCAAAATGGTATTTTCGGTGCAAACCACTAAGTTATCTTCAGGCAAGTCTCCTTCTGGATAGTCACTATTGGTATCACTAGTATGGTTTAAGCTTTTATAAAAATCATGGCAAGATGTAGGAATGTATGGCCGTAATGCCAACAGACCATTATACTTTAGTTGTGATATAGGTATTGGACTTTGTGATACCAGTGGCAAATTTTTTGGTAGTGTAAGGTGTCGCCTTTGAAACCTAACAAGGTTAATCTCCTGGTTTTCATCATCAAAATTACTTTTCAAAAACAGAGTGCCCATGCTATTGTGTTTTACTTGCAGCTGAACCATCGAGCAAAAAGACAAAGCTGAACACAGTTTGACAGAAGAGCTTGTTGTTTGTTGATATCTTTTTTTCTATTAATAAAAGGCTGATTTTGCGCTGTTTTAACATCATACAAAGACTTTAAATTTTTAAAATCTTCTAGTTCCATATTATGTACGGTATATTTGCTTGAGATTTGTCTGACTAACTGCTGCCAGTTCCAAGGCGTTAAAATTGACATGTTGTTAATTTTTTTTCTCTTCCGCTCTATCAGCGCATGGACAGTGTCCGCCTCCATGTGGGTGTGACCCTTTAGTAGAAACTTCTGAGTGATTATTTTTACTTGATGATACTTATTGAGTATCCAAAAGAAACCCATAATCATGCTAACATTTTTATTCTGGCCGTAACAATTGTCCAACCACAGTATGATTTCTTCTATCTCAGTGCCAGGAATGACGGTGTCTGCCCATTTCAGTAATGCAGATCCGATTTTATTTCCACCATGAGCACCTTTAGATTCATCCCACATAATGCAATGGACTGATGAATCAGAATAATCATACAAGGTGTAATTCAATGTCCAAAGTTTTCGCTTGTAAAAGCTGATGCAATTTGTTACAAGAGGTGATGGCAAACATTTTTGCAGATCACCAGTTAATACCTTAAGGGTAGTGTTAGCTCTTTTGGTGTCCTGGCTTTTTACATCATACCTTAATTTAGATTCATCCAGATGTGCATTGTGATCTGCTTCAATAGACTGTTTTTCATCTGGAGTCAAATTTATTTTTCAGTTTTGCTTGAAAACAGTCACATGTATCTATTTCTGTTGGTTTGAAACTCAACTTAAATTTTTTGTTCAACACATCATACTAGAACCATTTTTTAGCCCTTAACATAGGGTTAAAATTTTTGTTATTACAATCCTCTATATACAGTTCATACATTTCTATTTTTAATATAAGATTGATGTTCACTTATTCTAACATTTAATGGCCTTGATGATTCACCTAAATAAAACTGATCGCATTCACAAGGTATTTTATAAATGCAATTCTTTGTCCTTTCTTGTTCATTGTTAGGTTTGGTTTTGGACAAAATAGATCTCAACGTGTTTGTTGTTGAAATGTTGAATTTATTTCCTATCCTTTTAAGTTTTCCTGATAATCCTTTTATGTACGGTATTGTTATTTTCCTCATATTACTCCTTGTGTATGCTGTAGGATCTCGTTCTAAGTTGTTCTGTTCTATTCGATCGACTGTTGAAAATTCCTTATTTATAAACGATAAAGGATAATCATTTTTTAATAAAACATATGTTAACAAATGTTTCTCCTCCAAGAACGAATTTTCGTTAGAACAAGTAATTTTGGCTCTATCGTATAAGGATTTAATTATTCCCTTTTTTACATTAATATTGTGATTTGATTTGAAATTTAAATATCTATTGGTGTGTGTTGGTTTTCTATACACCTGAGTCTCATATCCAGTATCGTTCTTAGAGATTAAAACATCCAGGAAAGGTAGCGTGTTATTATATTCCTTTTCCATGGTAAATGTTATTGTCTCTTCTTTATCGTTTATATAATTTAGGAATGTGTCCAACAACTCTGATCCATGAGGCCATATTGAGAATACATCATCTACATACCTCCACCATACTGTGGGTTTGAAATTTTGTTTAGAAATGATATTTGTTTCAAAATCTTCCATAAATATATCGGCTAAGAATGGAGATAAACTAGAGCCTATTGCTAGACCAAAATTTTGTTTATAGAATTCATTATTTAGTTGAAAATATGTATTATCAGTACATAATGTTAATAACTCCATTATAGCCGATATGTTTAGTCTTGTTCTAGTTGCCAATAAATCATCACTCTCTAATTTGGTCTTGACTATACTTAAAGTCTTATTTAATGGCACATTCGTAAATAAACTATGTATGTCAAAACTTACCAAAGTATGATTTGAATTAAATTCAATATTTGATCATTTATTTAAAAAATGTTGTGTATTTTTTATGAATGTGTCATTTTTATTTGTAAATGGTTTTAAAATATTTAATAAAAATTTTGATAGTTCACTACAAGGAGAATTCATGGTACTACAAATAACGTAACATATAAAATCAGAATTTTGATGTTTGTTGAAGGTAAACTAAATTTTTACAATGTCGGGATAGTATTATGAGGTTTTTTTCCTGGTTTTTCCCTCATAATATACTATGGAATCACTAACAGGAGAATTTTACTGTCATCATGTCATGTGTTTGTCTTTTTAAAGACAAATTACATGCTATGATTTTTTTCTGACGGATATTCTCAAGTTAAAGTTGATTTCATGTAATCGAATGAACTATCTTATAAGTAAAGTCGTCCCAGAAGCGCAACTCAACAATATTGGCAATATCATTTTAAAGTCGTCTACTTTAAAATGCATAATGTATGTCTGAATTGTCAATATAAATGAGTCATATAAAATTAAATTATTAGAAGAATTTTTCACTATGTAACAAAAAACAAAATTTGTTTAATTTACTTCTTTCGTATTTTGAGAACGATTTCTGAAGTGGAAATTGAAACGTCAATAAACGTATTTTTATCTTTAATTGTGGTTTATTCCCAGTTTAATAGTAATTAAGCTAATATACTTGTTTACAACACTTACTTTTGGTAAACAATAAGATATTTTAATAAGCAATTTATTATATTTACAGTTTATAGAAGTCCAGAACAAAGAGAAATTGATGAGGTAGATAAGGAAAATCTAAACCGAAGTATAACCGAATATGAAAATACCACTACGCATTCACAAGGAGACTACGAAGTTGTAGCAACAGTGCCTGAACGAAAAGACTTTCCTAGATTACGCCCGCTTTCCGTAGAACAGTGGAGAGGTCATTTGAATAATGAAGGCAAAATTGAAGACGTAGAATCAGTTAAGACCCTCATATTTCGTGGAGTAAGTATATTTTTGTTTTTAATGTTTTAATATTTTTTTTTTCAAAAACACTGACACTAAGTACCTACATGAAATGTTGAAGAAAAATATAAATGATAGCAGCTGTTTTTCCCTCTGCATAGATCACCATCATTGAAATATTTAGCATAGTTATTATCTGCTGTTGAGATACCCAGCATCTGTCGTTCCATAGCTGATAACGTTTTTCTGATCTTCTCCGTGTTTATTTTAATGAATGTCCAGGTTTGAGCTCCATATGTAAGCACAGGTAGGATACAGGAATTAAACACTTTGGTTCGCATTCTTTGAGGTATATTTTTATTTTTAAGTACGTATGAGAGTCTTCCAAATGCTGCCCATCCCATTTTACACGTCTGCTTATTTCGGTAGTCTGATTTTCTTTGCTTACCTTGACATTTTGACCCAGATATGTATATTCATCTACGAGTTCTCTCTCTGTCCCTTGAATGTTTATCATAGGTTTGTTATCTTTGTTTGACATTAGTTTAGTTTTGCTGAAATTCATTTTCGGTCCTTTTTTTGGAGATTCTGTGTGTAGCTCCTCAATCATCGTATTCAGTGCATTCCACGTATCGGCTCGACATGCCAAAGTCAGTTCCATCAAGAGATCAGGTGCAATGACTCCGATTCCGACTGCAGACTCGGTTCATTTTTGCAGGTGCAGGTGCATGGATTTGTGGAATTGGAGCAGGCAATAGGATCGACAATTGCTCTTTTAAACATTTCGTTACCTATAATAATGTTAGAAAAATGGGAAAAATTTGGTAGACATTTTACGCCCTTTTGAAACTGTAACTTCATCAGTTAGTGGGGAAAAATATATATCGGCATCATTAGTAATTGTATTTACTGCAGGTCTATTAAATGTAATGAAGGAAATGATTACTTCTGGCGAACTGAAATCAGATTTATCAAACCAAGTTATTGGTAAACTAAAAAATGGACTTCAAACATGATTCACTAATATTGAATTTAATGTTGCGCTGGCTGCCAATACGTTTTTAGATCCACGCTTCAAGCTTCTACCATTACAAAGCGCTGCAGCTGCAAATCAGATAAAGAAAAAAGTGACAAATATGGCAGCAGATCTCGTTGTACAATCCACCGCAAGCAGAAATGGAAAAAGAATCTACTACTAGCAGTGAACCAACGAGAAGCAAATATTCGCTTTGGTCTTCTTTAGATAACAAAATATCTCAGAAAACAACCGGTAGGGACAGGGATCAGTAAAGCTATCAATGAAGTGCACCGTTATATGATATCTTAAATAAAGACGTAGATTCCCTTCTTTGGTGGAAAACCAATCGACATAATTATCCCACTTTAAGTTTACTTGTAGGAAACAAGTTTGCTTGTTTCCTACAAGTGACTTAATAAATTTTAGACATTCTAACCTATAAATATCATTTTGCGTATTTGTTTTTTTTATACTTAATATTGTAATATAAAAATAATTTTATTAAAGAATTTATTTTTTAATAGCTATTTATTTTTTTGACACATTGCAGTGTAATTTGACACCACATTAATTATCATAAAAAAACAATTTTGCTCAAATATCCTTGCCAAGGGCCGCTTCAGCAGGAGGGCCAAGCTATAATATAGATTCGAATGGTTCAAATAGTTGACCTTCTACGGCTGAACAGTACCCCAATCTGTCATAAAAACTTCTGCGAACAGATGAAAGAGTTTCTGCTGTAACAGAATTGGAGACTTCTCTTATTCGATTTTTTAATTCATCCAAATTTTGGGCTCTAGTCTCAGGATGATCGTAGATAATGCTTTTTAAATGTCCCCAAAAAAAGAAGTCCATGGGTGTAAGATCTGGAGATCGCACAGGCCACTTAATATCGCCTGTTCCACTGATAACTCGATTTGGGAAAGTATTGTTTAAATACTCCCTAATAATTCAAGCGTTGTGAACTGAACAGCCGTCTTGATGAAACCAAACATTCTCCAGATTTTCATCAGGAAGATTGAGAATAGCGGGAAGAACATGATTCTGTAACAAATCGAGGTATACTCTACTATTCAAGTTGCCCTCAATAAAAAATGGACTTATTATGTGGTCTCCTAAAATGCCAGTCCAGACGTTAACTTTTTGAGGACGTTGAGTTCGGTAAACAACACTTCTGTGCTGGTTTTCCCGCGCCCAATACTTCGTGATGGAAGGATTGTGTCTCCCTACTAACGAAACAGAAGATTCATCAGTGAATAAAATGTTTTTAATAAAATTTGGTTCACTATTAGCCTTCGTTATTAGAGTTTCACAAAACTCCATTCTTCGAAAGTATTCGTCTGGATAAAGCTGCTGCGTTTTCGAATATTTAAAATTCTTGTAACCGTGCTTTTTCCATACTTTCGTTACAGTAACATTGCTAACATCTAACTCTCTAGCAACGCTTCTACTTGAACGTGTTGAATCTACCTCGATTGTTGCACAAATTTGTGTCTCCCGGTATTCTCTTTCCTCAACTTTTTCTGGTAACACTTCTTGAGCGTGGCATTTTCTGCAATTTTTGAGGCAATAACAACTCTCAAAATTTTTAACAATATTATAAATTGACTGTACACAAGGAATTGGTCTTCCCTCAAAAAACACAGAAAATAAATCTACACACTCTTGCGCAGAATTGCCACTATAAAACCATTTTATTATTTGAGCTTTTTCCGCGGCCATATAAACAGACATGTTTACAAAAATAAATTAAAACTCTACGCTGTTATACCTTTAAATAATCACGGTATAATGACAATATGACAAATTTGCCGACGGGCGACGAGCAACGACGAGTCAACGAAGCAGATATGTAGTGGCAAGTCGACGACGCGCAGTGTTGCCATTTATAGAGTGTATACCTAATCCAAAGTTAACGCACTGTATATAGATGGTCACAGGTGCTGTACCCTTTGCTAAATCCGGCTTGTTCTACTGGTTGGTATCGGTCAAATTTAATTGTTAACCTGTTTGTAATAATATTTATAAAGATTTTGTAAAGTTATGAAGAAGTGAAATTGGTGAATCATTTTTCAGGTCTGTGGTGTCTCCCTTTTTGTGTATTAGTATTGTTTTAGCAGTATTCCATTGTCCGGGTATGTTGCCTTCGAATAGATATTTGTTAGTTAGTATTTTTAGATATGTGATGGCATCTTCTCCGCCTTCATTCAACATTTCTGCTAGGATTTCATCGCTTCCAGGCTTTATTTCTTTTTATTTCTTTTACTGCTCTTTCTATTTCTTCGTGGCTTATTTCTGGCATCACTTCTGAGTTGACATTTGTTATCTGTCTTTTCTAGTTTTGCTTTGAGTTAGATCTTTTCTGGAACGATACAGATCGGCGTAGAAATGTTTTAGTTTAGTGAATTTGAGACTTCGGTTTTTCTCTATGACTTGTTCTATACGATCTTCTTGATGTTTCTTAATGTCGTCTGTTATGTTTTTCTTTCCTAGTTTCGTTTTGATGCATTTGAGACTTCGGTTTTTCTCTATGAGTTGTTCTATGCGGTCTTCTTGATGTTTTTTAATGTCCTCTTTTATCTGCTTTCTTATTACTCGATTAAGTTCCTAAAATTCTGCAGTGTCTCTTTTGTTTTGTATCAGAAGATGTTTTCTTTGTTTCAGCATGTTCTGTGATTTTACACTTATTTTGAATTTTCGTTTTCTGTTAGCTTCTGAGCTTACATTTAAGTGCATACTGCCACTAAACTACTGTAAAGAGATACTTGATCTTCAAAGATTGACCTGACCGGTTTCTTCGTTGTCCAGGCTAAAAGTGACACTCGGAAAAAATACGATTACACGATAAAGGGATTTTAAGTTTTATTTATTTTACATGCAGTAAAGCATCTACCGATCGCTGGTCTATTTTTATTTAGAATTCAGCAGTTATTATAAAATTTCTATAGGTGAAAAAGAGAAAAGACGAATTGAAGCGCCGGTAAATAACCATCTTGGAAGCAGCATTTGGCAAATGTAAACAGGCTCTTAAAGTTTGCTTTCTTATTTGATATTATAAAACGCAGAACGTTAAGTACTTATAGGAATTATATAGATTGTATGCTTCTTCTTCTTCTTTGAGTACCGTGCCCAAGTTTTAGGCGTGGGTAGATTCCATGACGATTTACCGATATCGTTCTCGATCTTGCGTGGCATGTAATAATTCATCTGCTGATAAGCCAGTCCATTGACGAATTCTACATATACCATTTATATACCATTTTCGTACTGACCGGAGTGAACAAATTCCCCTTCGTTGGCTCAGTGAAGATGTTCGTTCAGTTGTAATGGAAACACAAAATAATAGTAGCAGAGTTTATTGACGAGACGTACACTATGGGTGTTGACCCGGAATTACCTTGAGTAGAGACTGTTGCAGTTGATCGCTGAAGACTATCAAGTTTGTTGAGTGAATATTGATTGAATGCTTCTCTAGGCAAGAGATTTTAGTTTTATATAAGTTTTAATTGGGTCAATATATTCGCGGACCTAATGACATGTGTATCTGAGTTGTGTGTAAATTGTTTAACTTTCGTCAGCACTTTCGACCGATGTCCAAATTTTACTGTTGATAATTGACCAAATCTAATGTAACCTAATTAACTACGTGTGTGTATTTAATAACAAATAAATTCATTCGGTCTACTGGGTGATAAAATTATACTGTCCAATTTTGGATATGAATTCTGAAGATTTAATATTGGACACGGAGTTCTTTTCAACTTTGACTTTTTTGCTAATTTAACCAAGACTTGTTCTTCGGTCATTCTTTTTCTTCCTATGCGTTTCTTCTTTTCTTTGTCCTTATTTTTTTCTGCTACTTTTCTCATTTGAAAGTCAATGAAGAGACAGTGCATGTCTGTATTAAATTCACCAATTTTTTCTAGGATTGACCTCAGTGTAATAATTAGATCTATTATCGATTTTTGCTTGCAGAAACGTATTGGTCTTCTTCACGTGCCATCCCCTTTAAGATGGTTGGCAACCATCATGGCAATTCGCTCTTTCGACGTCGCTGTTCTAAAGAGGTCAGCAAAAGTGCAGTTAAACCAAGCTCTCAAATTATCCAACCAGGAGATGCGTCTTTTTCCGCGACTCCTTCTACCCTGTATTCTTCCTTGAATTATTAATTGCAACAAGTTATAACGTTCGCCCCTCATAACATGTCCAAGATATTGCAGTTTTCTGACTTCAACTGTATTTAAGGCCTCTTTATCCTTTCCCATTCTTCTCAACACCTCGACATTCATGACTCTATCTACCCAACATTCTTAATATCCTTCTGTAGGCTCATAACTCGAAGGCTTCCAATCTGTCCGAAACATCTTTCTTTAAAGTCCAAGCCTCCAACCCATAAAATAATACAGAGAACACGTAGCATCTCAGAAGTCTTATCTTTAAAGAAATTGAAATGTCCCTGCTGCAGAGTACTTTTTTCAGTTTGTTGAAAGAGTTTCTTGCATGTCCTATTCTTGCCTTAATCTCTTCTGTGTACTCATTATTTTCATTAATTATTGTACCCAGATATTTATATTTTTCAACTTTTTTAATTTGTTCTCCACGTATTCGTATGTTTTCTTGGCGCTGTTGGGCTTTTGTAATTACCATAAATTGTGTCTTTTTTGTGTTTTCTTCACTGACTTCTACCACTCTGTCAACCATTCGTTGTAAATCCTCAAGACATTCCGCTAATAAAATAGTGTCGTCGGCAAACCGTATATTATTGATTGGTCGGCCATTAACTTGTATTCCCATAGTTAGTTCTTCTAGTGCTTCCTGGATTATTTCCTCTGAATACAAATTAAACAAAGTAGGAGACAGGACACAGCCTTTCCTGAAGCCCCTCTCAATCTGTATTTCATTTGAAAAGACGTTGTTCTCTTTTACCACAGCGATCTGATTATAATAGATAGCGCTAATGATCCTGATGTCTCTCATATCTCAGTTTTTCTCAGTAATTCGATAAGACGGTTATGTCTGACCCATCGAGCAAAAAGACAAAAGAGGGAATGTAAAGGTAGTGGGGGCAAAAATATTGTTAGACAGAAAGTGCGATCTTTAGAGGCCACATTAAACAAGGAAAGAGAGTCTCTCTCCTTGTTTGACATCAAATTTAGTAGGGTTATGTTATTGTTTGTCCCAAATGTCACATGAAATCTTATTTATATTGAAGTTTTTTAACAATTGTGTCGCATTTTAGACTATTATCGTTAATAATTAATTAAAACTTTCTTGCCTAAGACACATTCTGAAAAATATTATACAGCTACTGTCAATAAGTGTCTGAAAATTTAAATTTGGCGCATTCGCATTTCCGGATATGTCCGCCATCAGAGGCCACTTTTTTGGTCTCCTTTTCATAAGGATTAGATTCCCTTTTTTGTCTTTGTACTCGATAGTCTGACCTTATCGAAGGCTTTGTTGTAATCCATGAAACACATATATATATATATATATATATATATATATATATATATATACCGGCTGATTAACATCCATGCACCTTTGCACAAGTACATTTACAGCGAACAGGGCTTCCCTCGTTCCCAGTGCATTTCTAAATCCAAATTGTGTGTCACTTATGTCCTGCTCAAGTTTGTTGTGTATTCTCCGGTGTATAATTTTTAAAAATATTTTGAGCGTATGACTCATTAAACTTATTATCCGGTGGTCTTGGCATTCTTTTGCATTTGGTTTTTTTGGTAGTGTTATGAATGTTGACATTAGCCAATCTCTGGGAATGATTCCTGTACTGTATATTGTATTGAATAAGTCAACCAATATTCCAATTTGCTGTTCTTCTATTAACCGTATTATATTGGTAAACGTATTGGTAGGGAATTATTATTAGTTGATTTTGTTAATGGAAATTGATTTAAAAATATATTTAACAAGATTTTATAAAATATATAAAATGATCTGACACTTCCCAAATATACAGCTTTTGAACATTGACAAATTTTTTTATTTATTGTTAACCTACGTTTTAGGGTGTTACCCCGTCTTTAAGACCCGAAGTGTGGAAGTTTCTACTGGACTACTTCCCTTGGTCCAGCACAGAAACCGAAAGACAAAAACTTCAAGCTGTTAAAAGCGACGAATATTACAACATGAAATTGCAATGGAAACGAATGACCAAAGTTCAAGAAGATAACTTCTCTGATTATCGAGAAAGAAAAAGTTTAATAGAGAAAGATGTAAATAGAACTGATAGAACGTTGGATTTTTACGCCGGTGACAACAATGCTAATTTACAGACGTTAAATGATATCCTTATGACGTATATAATGTACAATTTTGATTTAGGTTATGTTCAAGGAATGAGCGATCTGTTAAGTCCGATTTTGATGTTGTTGGACAATGAGGTAGACTCGTTTTGGTGTTTTGTAGGATTCATGAATAAAGTAGTAAGTTATATTTCTTTTATTATTATTTAGTAGTAAGTTATTTTATTTTTATAAGACAACTTTGTTGAGAGAAGTATTTTAGATTAGAGTGGTTTATTAAAAAAATATTACAAAATTCTGTTACAAAGTTACTGAGTTTTCTAGTAATATTCATTATAATTTATAAGCAATTACCACTTAAAGTCACTTTTTATCACACCAGAGGCAAACAGAATATGTACGTATATTAAGTAAGGGAGAAATGTACCAAAGGAGGCTAGCACAGAATATACACTGAAACAAATAGATGACATTGAAGATATTATAGACGCGAACTGGGAGAAAATTAAAAACAACATTGAAGAAGCAGCAACAGAAGCTCTAGAAAAACGTAAGGTCATACTGAACAAAAGATACAACAACAATACATCATGGTTCAGAAAAGAAATAAAAGAGAAATGTAAAGAGAAACGAGAGGCCTACACGAAATACAAAACATCAAATACTCAAGAATCTCGAGACACCTATAGAAGAATACGAAATGAAACAAAGCAGTTGGTAAGAAGAACAAAAAATGAATACTGGGAATAGTTTACAAAAAGAATGGAAAGCGACTTTTACGGTACACAAAAACAAATATGGAGATTCTTAAGAAACCAACGGAAATAAATGGCAGAATTGAAGGAATACAATAACATACCAGCAAACGAATGAGAAAGATACCTGACGAAACTGTTTATAGGAAAGGAAAACAATAATCAACACAATAAGGTATCTGAATTAAGACACGAAATGGAAGTCAGTTTTCAGGAAGTAGAGGGGGCCATAAATTCACTCAAAAATAGAAAGTCACCAGTACCAGATGGAATAACAAACGAGCTTCTAAAACGCGAAGGAGAAAGTATAACCCTAGAGATGACAAAACTTATACAAAAACTAATATTGCACTAAAAGATACCAGACGCATGGAGAAACAGCATAATGATATCAATGTTCAAGAAAGGAGATAAAGAAGACCCCAACAATTAAAGAGGTATAAATCTACTGAACACCGCACTTAAGCTTACCACAAAAGTCCTAACCAACAAAATCAATAAACTAACAACTTATCAGATCCACGGTATTCTATTCTAAAAACAAGGATTCAGATCCGGAATATCCTGCGTAGACGCCGTATTTGTACTAAGACAAATCACAGAAAAGGTCATTGAGTACAATAAACCAGCATATCTATGTTTTATAGACATGACAAAGACTTTCGATCGCATCAAAGTCGAAGACGGCTTACACCTACTGTATAAAAGAAACATACCAATCAATATTATACAAACCATCGAAAACATCTACTTTCATAATCGAATACAGGAAAAGATAAATGGAAAACTAACACAGAGTATACCAGGGTGACGAGTCACCCTGGTCACAAGTAAAGCGGCAGGATATCTTAATGACACAATCTGGAAGAACAAACACCTAAGACAAGACACAAAAACAAAAATCTACACATACACATAGAACATACACAGCGGAGATAAGACCTGACACATCTAAAATGAAACGACTATTAGAAACAAAAGAGATGACAATACTCCGACGAATATCAGGGAAAAGTCTGTTGGATAGGAAGAGAAGCGAAAACATAAGAAGAGCATGCAATATAGAAAACATAAATGTATGGGTGACGAAACAGAAACAAGAGTGGATCGAACACATTAGTAGAATGGCAGAGGATAGGATAGTACGAATAGTGTAATATTCAGCTGAGGCACCACTGTAATGGCCGGGAACACCGCTGTCGCCACTGTAATACTAGCGGAGAAAAATTACTGTAACCCCTATAACATCCTCGGTTTAAACTATAAAGGATGCTTATCCCTAGTCTGAATTGGCTGGTTCGCCCTCGCGAGTTCAGGAGGGTAGGGAAGTCTGGAAAAAGGGTTAAGGACTTCTAGGTCTCAGGTCCTGTAAAGAGTTGAGTCTATGGGCTTACTGTAGAAGCCGGAGAAATGCATAATCGGAAAATTGTGTACTCTTCTAGTCTCTGCCAGTAACAGCCGGGAAGGAGCAATAAAACCAAGTTTTGAGTCTACAAATGTATTAAATAGACTGTATACTACAATTAAGTTAACAAGCTGTCAGTTATAACCCATAAAGATTCGTTCAGGCGCGAAGGGAGACGAGAAGTGACCTTAGCAAGAAATTAAAGCGTGGACAATCTGCGTTTCGATATATTGCTTGGGTTAGTATATAGATTTAGTTACCTTCGCATATATAGGCCCTAGCTAATGAATACGCCCTTCAGTCCTACTCGAATTCAGGTTCAGTTGTGGAAACACCGGGCGCTATCACGAGTTTTCGAAACTCCCGGTACTTAGAACTTATACGCTACTATTATCTCGCCCAAATACAAATAGCGCCTTCGCTTGACCGCCTTGTGTCGCGGAGCCTTCCCAGCGGTTCCACACTTACTGACTCGACGATTACTGGACGCTACCGCCTCCGAGGATTCACGTTTGCCGGGCAACTACTGCCCGCCGAGCATCCTATGGCTCCGGTCGCCCGAATGCTACCGGTGCCTAGCGCTTACTGACTCCCCTGGCCCACTTCATTCGCTTTTTATGAAACGGTATTCTCATTTTCCGAGGTCGAGCTTTTGCTGACTCTACTCATGCGGTGTTATTTTTTCAACAAAGGTCTCTGTTTTTTAAACGTGATTTTTTTCTTTTAAACAATGGTTGCAAACTAATATTGAACTCGTGCAACACTTAAACTAGGTCGAGTTATCATTCTTTGTTTAATTTGATATGTATACGTTATCTATGTCGAATTATTTGTTCATTATTCAGTTTGGGATATATAATAATTATTTAAACAATTTTTACTCTTCTCTAGGCTACTACCCCTTACTATTTTTTTATGGAAAAATACTTTTCTAAAACTTACTTAAATTACTAAAATTTACTTTTCCTAAAATATGGAAAAACTGAACAATAATATGGAAGACTACACTCAGGTTAGTCAATGCCCTGATTTTACCATTGCTACATACGCGGCCCAAGCATAAACCCACCAATAAGTCAATAGATGTAAGACCGAAGCTTTCGAAATGTGGGTGTACAGAAGAATTTAACGTGTGTGTTGGACAGAAAAGGGGCTATTAAAAAAAATAAACCGAACATACCTAAATTACTTCGGCTATACAGCTAGAAGAACGGAGTGGAAGAGCGTGTGGTGAAAGATTTTAAGAATTTCACGTATAAATTTATTAAACAAACACTGTAAACAACAAACTACTGTATAATTATAACTAAAAATATCTTCATCCAAGCGGGGGTGTCGTCATTCTCTGGTCATCTCGGTGTAAGTCACCCTCTCGTTGGAGCGCATTCGGTTCGATCGGGGTGGATCGTGACGCAGGCGCATAATTAGTAGGGTTTAAACTATGATGTGCGCGAGCAAGTCCGTACTTAACAGGGGGAAAGGTAGAAGGTCGAAGACTAAATAAAAGGAAGATCTCCAACAAGATGGACAAACATTTTTACATAAAACCGTCCATCTGGTACAGGATCGCAGTCAATGGAGGCAGTAAGCAAACAATATTTAAAATATTACCACGCCCTGACAAGGGCTTAAGAAATGAGGAGGGAGGAGGAAGTTGGTGTACATTCTATTCATTTTGTAATCAATTATAACTCAGTATATTGAAAAATAGTACAAATAGGTTATAATTAAATGACTAATTATTAAATATATTAAAAAGTTTTTGTTTTTCAGAGTCGAAACTTCGATATTGATCAAGCCGGAATGAAAGACCAACTGGGTAATTTACACACACTTCTTGCCTTTGTCAATCCGCAACTTGCCAATTATTTAGACACTCACGATTCAGGAAACATGTTCTTCTGCTTTAGGTGGTTGTTGGTTTGGTTTAAAAGAGAGCTCAGTCAGGAAGATGTCATGAGGTTTTGGGAAGTTCTCTGGACAGGATATCCTTGCGAAAACTTTCATCTACTTGTTTGTGTAGCTATTTTGGATACGGAAACAACTACCATTTTTCAGAACAACTATGGATTCACTGAAATATTAAAGGTAAAGGTAATGATTATTGACCCCGTGTTTTTCTTTTTCTTATTGATTGGGTTCTTATATTTGTTTATACTATAATATATTGTTATTCTGAAAAAAAAAAAAAAAATAGAGTACACTTTAGTGATACACCACAAAAAATAGCTTGTAAACCGTACTGCTGACACAAAAGAATTGAAGAAAAGAAAGAAAGGAAAGTACAAGTAATATTTATTTTAATAACTCATTCGACACACCTTTTATTATTTCATCATTTGATTTGTTCTTCTTTTTGCGCCGTCTCCTTTTGAAGGTTGGGGATGCAAATGGGAATTGTCGTTTTGGAAATTGCTGCACGAAGATTTCTGCGGATGAGCGGTTTGATTTATTAGTCCTGTGTTAATTTTCATCAAGTAATTTTTCTTCTTTATTAATCATTTTGCTTCCAACGAGCAATACGGATGCCTTGTTACATTTTGCGTCGAAAGTTTCGCGGTATAAGTATATATTTTTGTAGTTAGAAATTGGCGCCCAACGTGGGAAAATTATTTTTTATTAATTGTTGTCTGGTAACTATCGGAGAACTGTCTATGACCAATATATATTTTCATTCTTACCGGAGACTTATGTTCAGGTACACTATCAACTTTAAAACAATAAATTAATTGTGCGTCGTAGATAAAATATAGTATGCAACTCGTTTCAGTTAATTTTTTGTATTGTAACGTTACAGGTTTAATAACAGAGTCTGGATTCAAAATCTTTAAACAGCACAGGAAACCATTCCTGCAGCTGTAGCGAAAGTCTTTCACTGTCCAGTTTTTGTATTTTTGTGCCCATTCGAAATGTTTCTTTATCATAGCCGGAGTAAACCTTGGCTTTCGAGCTGGTCTCCTAGCTACCAGTTTGTTTTCGACAAGTCTCCGACGAACTGTTCTTTTTGAGACAGAAATTCCTTCATCTCTTATCTTCTGGGTATGCATTCGCAGTGGTTCCTTTATGTTTACTAGGCAAATATCTCTTATTTTGTGATCAGTCCTAGGAGTAGTCACACGATGTCTTCCGCTTTGGATCCAAACTGACTCCAGACGCAATTTTCTGTTTTATATTCCTTACAGAACTTCTTGATACTCCTACCATTGCTGCTATTTGATTTTGAGACTTATGTCCAGTTTTTAGGAGTCCAAATACCTAGCCTACTGTTCTGTTTTGGTGACAGATCAGCGTTTTTCCCCATCTAAAAATGTATAATAAATACCCTTAAGTATACCAATAACTTCACTGCATATGTTTATAATCTAAAAAATAATAAAAAAGGATAAATCACTCACATCTGCAATAAAATTTCAGGTCAAAACCGCTTAGAATTCAAATGTTCACAGACAGTATTTGAGGTTATAAAATACACACTAGTCGACAGGACGTAATGCTGTCTAGAAATGGTGGATAGGGCGGTGTTGCCAACGTTAAAATAGTTCAATAATGTTACCATACAATATTAAATGTTGCTATGCGAAAAAATAATA